TTAACCACATTGTCTCTTTTGCTTAAGGCTTGAGGTTTCTAGCAAATTACCTTCTTCTTTCCAGTTTTCAGAGTCCCGTTATTATTGTTTGATGGATAATTAATAGGGAATTTAGTTGTATTTAGAGTGAAAAGCAGGAGAAAGTGAGTTTATGCCATCTTGTTCCAGAATCAAAAGCCAGTTTTGCTTATATTTTTAATTTTTAATCTTTGCTTTTTAAGTGTATGAATTAGTATGAATACTACGCATTCTACTTTTTCTTTGATATTTGAAGGTTGAGGTATATAAAGAGAATATATATGTGTATATATATAAAGACATATATAGGTAGATATAGATATACAGATACGTATATGTAAGTATTCTCTCTCTATACACACATATCTGTTATATATCTCTATATCTGTATACTGTATATCTCTCTGTTTCTGTTATTCTGTGTATGTGTATGTATATGTATAAATATGTGCTCATCTAGCTGCCCTAGTTTACTGACTCTTAACCTAAATATTGAATCTCTTAATTTCTCTAAGATTACTTCATTGTTTCAGCCATGTATAGATTTATTCATATCTTGAATAAATTGACTCTCAATAAAATTGTGAATTTACTGTATTTTAATTATAGGTCTTTGATTCTAAATTTAATGATCTTTGACTCTTCTGAAAATTATTATTATTATTATTTTTAATATTTTAATCCTCACCCGAGGATATTTTTTCCATTGCTTTTCAGAGAGAGTGGAAGGGGAGTGGGGAGAGAGAGAGAGAGAGAGAGAGAAACACTGATGTGAGAGAGATACATCTACTGGTTGCCTTTTGCATGTGCCCCAACCGGGGCTGGGGATCGAGCGTGCAACTGAGGTACATGCCCTTTGCTGGAATTGAACCTGGAATCCTTCAGTCCAAGAGCCTATTCTCTAACCACTGAGCCAGACTGGCTAGGGCTGAAAATTATTTTCAATAAAATTGTTGATGAATTTTAGAAAGGTTTTAGTACTATTTAAAATTTTTAAATATCTTCATGTAATTTTCTTCTAGTTCAGATCCATGAAGTTCATCAGAAAATTTTGGCAACTGATGTTGGTTCTAAAACACCTGACTCAAGAAAAATGTCAAATAAAAAACTCAAAGATCACCACAATGACGCCAATGAGGAATTTTACTTATCTGTTGGTTCACCTTTTGTTCTTTTGGATGCAAAAACATCTGTACCGCAAAATGCTATTTCGTCCATTGGCCAAAAGAGAGAGACCTACACTTTTGAAGATTCAGTAAATATGATGTCTTCAAGTACAGAGATTTCCCTTAAAACCAAAAAAAGGTGAACTTTTAAAATTTAAATATTAATCCTACTATAAACGTTTTACCTTTTATATTAAAAAGTATGTAATTTAATCTTTTATGTATTTTACAGTATGTATTGAAGAATATTAACATGTTATGAGAAGAATGTAGCATATATTCAGTATATATCCCATTTATATTTAATGAGGAAGGCCTTAAAGTGTACTTCAGAGAAGCTGGGAATAACTTTTTTATTGTCTGTGGGAAAATGTTTTTTTTCCCCCTGATAATAAATTTTCTCTAACTTCCTAAGAGAAGCAGTTTGCATTTCCTCTATGTTATTTGTAATTACAAGGGTAGGTATGTATCAGACCATTTTTAGGGTAGCAAAGGATAGGATTATTAAGGATGAGTTGTGGTAAACTCATGTCCATTTTGTGGGGGCTCTCCCTTTGGCCTTTAAGAGGCAAAGTAAATCATTCAACGTCTTTTGCTACTGGGGACCTGTGCAATGAGTGTAATTTCTGTCTAGGGTCTGCTGTGCATTCTAAGATTTTGTTGTTTAAAGTGTGGTCTATGACTAAAGATCAGAGCAGTGGCATTATCTGGAAGATTATTAGTAATACAGTAAGTCATCACTAAATGTCATTGATAGGTTCTGTGACTTAAGTGAACTGAAGTATCACAAAAGCAGTTTTACCGTAGGCTAATTGATATAAACAGGAGTTAACCTCCTATGGCATCTCATCAGTGTTATAATGAAATGATTCTGAATAAAATGATATTATTTGAGAATCTGCTCAACAGAATCTCAAACTCTGCCCTAGACCTACTGAATCAGAATCTGCATTTGAATAAGATTCTCCAAATGATTCAAATTCATGTTAAACGTTTGAGAACTGCTATCAGCTATATATATGAGCTTTTCCTTGGTGTATGATTTTTCTTATTAATTTTTTTCTACTGAAAAATACAAAACTTAATTTTTCTGAGTGATTTGCCTGGTATATTTAGTGGAAGAGGTTGCAAATCAGCATTTATAAATTTTAAATGAAGGCTCCGTAGAAATTTTTGTAAGTGGTCTGTGTTGTCACTGTAAGGTAGTTCAGGAAAACTAATAACTCAACAAACTGGGAGTATTCAGCTTACCTTCTTTTTAACCTTTTAGGTTAGACTTTGAAGATAAAGATATTTTGAAGAAAGTAGAAACAGAGGATGACGTATCAGAAAGACCACCAGAGAGAAAACCATCAGAAACATCGCGGAAAATAATACAAGATTCAGAACATGAAATTCAATCGCAAGCTAAGAAGAGTTTTTCAACAATGTTTTTAGAAACTTTGAAAAGAAAAAGTGAATCCAAGTGAGTTATTGAGAAACTGTCCTTTGAGATGTTTTTTTCTTTTACATTCCATGAACAACGATATCTAAAGATTCTGCATGCTATTTTTAATTAGAAGTGAATGTTATTGACACTGATGTTAATTGAAATGATGCCTAACCTGTAAGGAGAGTGTAGTTTCTTATCAGTAAATCACCCTAAAACTATTATTTAATAGAAACTAAATTTTATATAACAGAAAATAAGTTTATTCAGCTTTCGTTTCTAGTTTGTGTGCTATCAAAGGGTGAAGGCATTATTTAGAAATATAATTATGTCAGCGTGCCTATGTTTCACTTTTAAGGGTTTTAAATCTTTTTTTCTGTTTCTTCTATTTGTGTTAATAAAAAGTTAGTTGTAAAGTAAATTTTAATATGTTCTGATTACTGAAAAACCTTCAGAGGTTCTACAGTTTCAAAACAGTGATTCTTAACTGTGGCTGCACATTAGAGTTAACTAGATATAATGGCCACTAGGGTGAGAACCACTGATCTATAGAAGAAACTTCAGATTTGTCGACTGGTAGTTAAGGCTTTCACTCTCTCTTGTTAACTTTTCTACCAACTTGGTCATACATATTTGCAGTTGTCTCTGCTCTGGCACACTTATTTTCCTTGTCATATGCCAATCTCCATTTTTTATTTTTTTTTAAAATATATCTTTATTGATTTCAGAGAGAGGAAAGGAGAGGGGGAGAGAGAGAGAGAAACGTCAATGATGAGAGAGTCACTGATCAGCTGCCTCCTACATGCCCCCTTACTGGGGATCGAGCCCGCAACCGGGGCACGTGCCCTGACCGGGAATCGAACCCCGATTGCCTGGATCCTAGGTCGACACTCAACCGCTGAGCCATGCCCGGCCGGGCATACCAATCTCCATTTTTAAAAAAATATTAAGGTTCATGCTAGGCTTCTAGTTTTTTTCCAAGTCCCAACTCCAGCTTTTTTTAATTGGTCTCATGCCTTTCAGCTATTTTATGTGTTTCTTTCTTGGTAGATTAAGACATAAACTGTTTATTCTAGTTTAGAGTTCCTTTTGTATTTTCTGTGATGTGTATCAAAATGCTAGTGAATATGTTAGGAAGGTTTTATAAAAACATACTGGATGAGTGAATGAAATTCCTCTCTTGTTCAGTCTCTGTTCTATAGTAGATCTCTCTTTCTCTGGAATCTTTTACCCTCTTTATGGATGTTATCCCCACCATCCAATACAAATATGTTACACCTATGGGCTAATTATATCTATGTCCAAAAAAATAATTAAGTATTTTTAAATGTTCTTTTAAATAAACTGGTGAGTAAAGTTAATTTTATGTTTAATTGCTGTAGTCAGATGTAACTACTCACTATTCTTAATGCTTTCTTGTTTCATTGCTTTTGCTTATGCTCTTCCTTCTGATTGTCTTTCTTGCATTGTCTTATGACCATATCTTATGCATTCTTCAAGATCCAGCTCAAATGCCACAAAGCCTGTCTTGATTTTTTCCACGAGCCAGAAGTCATCTTTCTCTGTTCTGTACTTTAATAGTGTTGTCTTAGTCCATTCAGGTTGCTATAATGGACTAGCATAGACTATGGCTTATAAATAACAGAAATTTATTTCTCATAGTTCTAGAGGCTGAGAAGTCCAAGATCAGGGCTTGAATAGATTCAGTATCTGGTGAAGTTTGCTTCCTGGTTTATAGATGGTTCTCTTCTTGCTATAACCTGACATGGCAGCAAGTGGCAAGAGAGCTTTCTGGGGCTTCTTTTATAAGGGTACTAATTCCATTCATGACCACTTCCCCCTGATGACCTAATCAACTGCTAAATGCCCCACTCTCAAATACCATAACATTGGAGATTAGGTTTTAATTTATGAATTTTGAAGGGATACCATCCTTTGAATAATTTCTTCCTTCTCTGGAAAGCTTTCCCAAGGTGTCTCAGAAATAATCTTGTTTTGGATGTTGCAATATTGTGATTTATAATAAATAAATATTTGGTCATCAGATGACTAAAATATATTTCTCATATATATTTGGTCTTCTGTCACAATTCCTGGTTCACAACTCCCAGAACTCTTGGAATTTCTTAAGTGTTGAAAGCTGAAAGAAAGGAAGGAAGGAAGGGAGGGAGGGGTCTTTTGTTATGTTAATGAGGTGACTTTTGGAAAGCCTTGGTTAGAATGGGGGCTAGTTGCCAATGGAAATTTCCTTGTGATTAGCGTTGAAATTTTCAGCCCTACCCCAGACCTCCAGGGAGGGGAGAGAAGCTGGAGGTTGAGTCAGTCACCAGTGAGCAGTGATTTAATCTATCATAACTATGTAAGGAAGCTTCCATTAAAAACCCAAGGGGATGGGGTTCTGAGAGCTTCCTGGTTGGTGAACAGTTGGAGATGTGACAAGCCTGGAGTGCCTTTCCACATACCTTTCCCTGTACATGTCTTCCATCTGGCTTTTCCTCAGTTATGTCTTTTACAATAAACCAGTGATCTAGTAACTTGAATAAACCAGTGATCTAGTTACATGTTTTTCTGCATTCTGTGAGCTATACTAGCAGATGAGTCAAACCCAAGGAGGGGTTTGTCAGAACCTCTCGTTTATAGCCAGTTGGTCAGAAGTATAGGTAAAAATCGGACTTGCATTTGGTATTCTGACTTGGAGGGGGTTGTTGAGAACCTCCAGTCTGTAGCTCGTTGGTCAGAAGCACAGGTATTATGGCATTGTGGCTGAAGTCTGAAGTGTGTGTGTGGG